CGGACCTCCAGAGCAATTCCCTAGCAGAGAAGGCGACGGCTTTAAGCTGTCCTAACCGAGAACGCACAGAACTCAGCTAGCGTGAGGCCGTCTACCAGCAACCCAGCTGGGAGAAACAACAAGCAGTAAGACCAAAACCCTGCATTCTGTGGTCAGTGATGTCCAAAAGGTTGTTAATAGATTATCTTTAACTCTTAAACTCGTAGCTTGCATTCATTAGCTGCCCGTGTGAGTCAAATTGTCCCCACAATTGAACCCCACATTCTCATTGTTTAGCCATTGTTTAGTTCTTTGATGTATATTTAACCGCATTTTTATGTCACCTTAGTTAGTTAATAAATTTCACCTTAATCAAAGGAATCGTGTGTGTGTACTACCTTCCTCCGAGTCCCTGTCATGAGAATTTACCCCTTCGATATGAGACTGACTGATTGATTTAAGATAATTGAGCGATTGTTAACTAACTGATCACTAGATAATAATTACATAATTATTAACCATACCCAGGGAATCCCAAGACCCTGTGCGAACGGAATCTCGGGTGGTGCCCCGCGAAACGAAGCTTTATGAATTAATATTCTCTGAATATTAAAAATCATAATTTTGTATTAATTCTCATAAGTTTATTAAAACATAAGTAGACATAAGGTACGTGGTAACTAAGGTGCAGTTAAAGTTTGAGGGTAGTTGTGACGCGGATACCCCACTCCCAAAGTTCCCCTCCCAACCACCAAGCGTCCTGCAGCCTGCCCGCCCCCCAGAGTCCTAAGGGTGTATGTAGGGAGACATGACCGAAAGGGGAAGGTGAAAGAGGTCATAGGGAGGCTAGAAAGGTTCTCCACCCTCTGAGGCCAGGTTCCTGACTGGCTCCAGCATTCAGCCCCATCCCCCACCCCCCTAGGAAAGAGGATGTCAGGTCCTTCCAGCCCTGGGCTTATAGCAAGAACCCCTCAAGCACCACCAGCGCCCCAGAGCCAGTGACGGGTCCAGGGGGCCCAAGCCCTAAGGCTGGGCAGGGTTGTCGCTGGCTCTGGGGCCCTGGTGGTGCTTGAGGACCGAGAGATCCGACCCGAAGTCCACCCACAACACCCCACCCCCCCAGACGGGCAGCCCCCCCCTCCTAGGGCCCTGCCTCACAGCCCCACCCATACCCAGGAAGCAAGGCCACCCAGTCTATCTTTGATAATAGTTTTGGGGGTGAGAGTTTAAGAAAGTCTGTTATCATTGGTGGTAGATCTAAGTCCATTACGTTATCCTTAGATTTTGCCTGAATTATGGATTTAAACTGTTCATAAATCTTCAAGAAATCTGTTATTGCTAATGGAATAAAGTTACTGCCCTGCATTACATGCTCTAGATGTCTCATCCCTTTATCATACCACAGTGGGGAACTGATGAATGGCATATTGGAAATTTTAATTTCCTTACAGAATGTTTGTTATATGTCCGTGGTCTAGGGGGCTTTGATTGATCCATCTTGAGATATATTGTAGTCTATTGGACAGGAAGCAATGACAGTTTGGCAGTTCTAAACCACCACAATCTTTTGCTTTTTGCTAAGTTTTTAAACTGATTCATGGATATTTATTTTTCCATAAAAGTTTTGTGTTGTTTCAGTCCAGTGACTTAAACCAGACAGCAGAGGGTTGGGTAGGTAACATTGAAAATAGGTAATTGATTTTAGATAGGACCATCATTTTTATGGTGGAGACTCTTCCCATGAGTGATATGGGCAATGAAGTCCATCGCAAAAGGTCATCTTCTATTGATTTAAGTGGAGGTGTGTAGTTTAACTATGCTCAAAGCATAGTTAACAGAAGTTTTTTTAGTTTTACATTCCAACCAAACAGCAGCTAATTTCACTGGTGGATACCCACAAACCATGGACCATGGGAAGTCGGAATTTCAGAGTTTAAAGTCGGAAATGTCAAAGGGAACACCCCCTTAAGCACCCCCCTTAAGCACTACCCCAAGTTTGTGATCCAAGATGGCTGGTCTGAGTATCAGCAGTTAGTGAAAGCTGTACTTTATACTGTTTATTAACACTTCTGTGTACTTGTGTCTCATAGAAATTTTTGTACACAAAGTGCTGTCCAGCTGCTGTCTATGGACATGTTGCTACAGTGTTTAGTATAAATAAATATCGCACAATGTGGCACAACCAGCGTAACAATAGCTAAACTGGCTAGTTGTCAACGATGGCTGGTTGAGCAATGTTTTCTGTTAACTGGAACGCCATCAACTCGGGCTTGACGTCATTCCCATCTCCGAGCTCCAACTTCGAGGTAAATGGAACGCAGCATAAGTTTGCAAAATGTGTCCTATATTACTCATTTAAAACATATTGGTGTGTTTTAGGTCTGTCAGGAGCAGCAACTCAGACTTTTTCCCTATCCGTAGCTTTGGGTGGAGTTTTGACTCTTGCTTCCTATAGCAACATGTTCCTGGACACAGTCATTGTAACCTTCATTAACCATGATAAACACCATTTCAGTTGAAGCATTATTGAAAATTAAGTTTATTTATTTTTCTTCACTTCACTGAGTAAGAAAGCATGATCAAAGCTAAAGATGTGCATCACACCTCCAAGATGACCACTGCCTTGTTAAAGAAGCTGAGGGTAAAAGTGATAGACTGTCGAAGCATGTCTCCAGACCTAAACCGTAATGTGCATCTGTGGGGCATCCTCAAACGGAAGGTGGAGGAGTGCAAGGTCTCTAACATCCACCAGCTCTATGATGTCGTCATGGAGGAGCGGAAGAGGACTCCAGTGGCAACCTGTGAAGCTCTGGTGAACTCCATGCCCAAGAGGGTTAAGGCAGTACTGGAAATTAATGGTGGCCACACAAAATTTGGACACTTAGGCCCAATTTGGACATTTTCACTTAGGGGTGTACTCACTTTTGTTGCCAGTGGTTTAGACATTAATGGCTGTGTGATGTAGTTATACAAGCTGTACACTCATTACTTTACATTGTGTCATCTCAAGTGTCATCTCTTTAGTGTTGTATCAAATATATAATCAAATATTTACAAAAATGTGAGCTCACTTTTGTGAGAGACTGTATAGCGTAGACTGTAGAGAGACTCATATTGTAAGTAATTTATTTAGATTTTCTGTAGCTTTCAGTGGTAGTATTAAAATGGCACTGTGGCAAACAGCAATCCAGTAGAACCACTGTGTCCTTAGATGAGTTATCCATAGTTGTTGCTTTCATTTTCTGTAGCTAGACATAAGCTGCTAGGAAATTGCTTGAATGCTGTCCTTTTATACAAGAAGACTTCTCATGGTTGAGTAGCATTATCTTGATCTTACAGATCTCCAAAATTTGTGGAATAGAGCAAGTTGTCTCTAAACTGTTTTGTCTATATGACATCAGCGTCAGCAAATAATAGTCCACTTCAAAATACGCTGTCTCTCTTTTTGGGCGAAAAGGATATTGGATCACCATGTTAATATTTTAGATAACCATTGATTGATTTCCTCCCTGTTGTTTTACATTTGATTTTTTATGGCTACAAAAATAGCATGGCAGATACCTTGTTGTTTCACTTATTTAGGCTTTAGTACAGCTTCACGTTGACCTGAGTTGTGCACTTGTACATGTTCTTCTCATGCATTACAGGAAAGAAGACATTGAGATGATGATTGGAAACAAAAGCTTCTTCTTCTGACTGTGGTGGAGAGCATATTGGTTCTTCTTCGGCCCCTGCATCATTGTGGTGAGTACTACCTCTCTTTTGTTCTTTCCTTTATATTGTGCTATACAAATACCATATTTGACACACACTTTAAATTCAACAAAACCAAAATTAGCATACATATTTGACATGACAATTTCTGGTTAATAAAGGCAATGTATGCCTGTATTAGTATGATAACTTTGTTTTCTAGGTGATCCTGGTCTGGTCTCTCATAACCTTTGTGTCCCTCGCCTATGGAAATGTCCAGTACCGAGTCTGGGGCTAGGTTCTGGGCTGGTGCATGATTGTGTTCCTCCTCATCTGGATCCATGTTGTCGCTGTGTATAAGCTGCTGAGAGCAAATGTAAATGTAACTACCAGTTCATGGCACCTATCAGTATAGCCTACTGGTATATGCTGATATGTTACATATAACTCCAGTTATACTGTAAGGTGATGATTCTGATTGTGTCAGTGATTCAGAAGGGACACTGTCAAACAAAATGCTAAACTGAATGCTACATGCAGCTCATGGCTTTTATGTGCTTTGAATGTCTTTGCACAGATGTAGACATTTCAACCAGTTAGTCAAAGCTTAACACCCGCATACAATATGATAATGTGGTTATGATTTAGCAGACAGACTGCCACATTAGTTTCCTTTGGAGCTACCCCCTCAAAATTCTGCAGTTATTAGTGAATTTAAGGAGTCACTTAATCACTGTTTTAATGGGAGGTTTGTGTTAAGGTTTTTGTCTTTCTTCTTTTTCTGTTGGATTCAGGACATCGTTAACATACCTAATGGCTACTTTCAGCTTTATGATACTAAATGTCTGTGGCTTCAAGACTGAAATGCTTAGATTGTCTTTCCTCACAGCAGACTCTGAATGTACTGCTTTAAGTGCTTCTCTTGTTATCATTCGTTCAAGAGCTCCATCTGGTGGTCATTTGGCACATAAAGAAATCCATATTCAAGACAGCACATTGTATTCTTTTCTCTACAAATCTTATGTTTGTTGAATTACATTTCCATGTCCCTTTATAATGTATCTCTCACTCCACTTAGTTTCTTACTTTTATCTCTGACCACTCTCCAATTTGGTGTTGCCTTACAATACATAATGGTTCATAGCTCAGTTGTCATTACATGAGTAAAGCCAAAATCTTAAATCCTTGCTGCTCAATAATTCATCTTATTTAATATGATGCTCAAAGTTATTCTGCAAGGGATAACTTAATTTTCCTTCGCTGATTTGTAGTTTATGATTTTACTGACTGAAAACATGTAAGCACATAAAACCAGCAGAGATCTGAAGTTGCTTTGAATGTGATATTTATTCAGTTTAGTTCAGTGACAGGTGTTACAGAGCTGTTGTTGAATGGGCATAGATGGTCTTATGTTACATGATAGTTGACCCAGCTCCTAAATTAAAAACAACCAGTATGAAGTTCAACCATGGATTGTTTAAGCCCAGTTGCAGCACTTGCAGCTGTTATCAAACACCAAGCCGGTAGCACAATGCTGGACGTAGGTAGCTCCCTGGTTGCACTCATAGAATTTATTCTTGCTGGTTGGGTCAGGGTAGACACCATTAGACTTGCCTGCGCAGAAACCAGATCCTGTGCTGCTGCCGCCACCGCTGCTGCCACCACCGCCAGGCTGGGGCTGAGCATGGGCGGTTGGTGTGACTGGAGGCAGGGGGTCAGAACGAGAAGTGCAGGCTGAGGAGAGACACGGAGGAATTAAAAAAATGGAAACAGCCTTATTATGTTTATTATGTGAGGATATGTGAGGATATGTGGTTCATGCATACAAGCTCCAGTTCCCAGTCCGCTCTTGATGGTGTTGATCAGGGGGTATCTTCCCTGGCCACAGAAAGTGCCACTGAAGTCGTCCAGATCCAAACTCCACACCATGGCTCCACCAAAACCGCTCTGCTTCAACCACTGAATCTGTTGAGTGGATGAGAGATGTATGAATATGAATATAATGTATGAATAACCTTCAAACATGAACTTTTGTGGCTGGAATGTAGATAATGAGATAAAACTTCATACCTTAATCTGGAAGCTCTTAACATTGTCATATCCAACCCAGATTCCCTGGTTGTAGGCATATGGCACATCCTGAGGGGCGTCCCAAGCCTGAGTGGCTCCTTGCTTCAGGAAAGTGCAGATCTGATGGGAGGGAGAGATTTAAGTGCATGCACTATGTTGCCCTGTCTTATAGTATATGCATGCACAGATTCAGGAAAAGAAGCACAAACCTCATAGTACGCCCAGAAGCCAGCCTGACGAGTGAAAGTTCCAGCAGGTCCGGGTCCACTGGCAGGAGCTCCCACAGCTGTGTTAGAGGAAGCCAGGCGGAAGGTGTGGCCGTAGGTGGGGAAACCAACCAGCAGCTTCTCAGCTGGGGCACCGTTGCTCTTCCAGTAATTCATAGCATAGTCCTACACATGAGAGCGTACAGGCCAGTGTGAGTATCTGTTTCATAATTACATTTTTATTAATTTACAGCAGGAGCCCTCACTCACCACATTGAAGTAGATCATGGATCCCTGGTCAGCGGGGCCCTTATACAGAGGGCTGTTCTCTCCAACATTTTGCTCCCAAGAACCGTGGAAGTCATAGGTCATGACGTGGAAGTAGTCCAGCACACTGACAAACAGATGATGAGGATTCGTTTTTAGTGATGGCTGTCTTCTGTACAACAAATGTAAGGGTATGTAAAGTTTGCATGTTTCTGCTCATGTACTTACGCTCCAATCTGTGCAATCTGGTATCCAGAGTCGATGGTTCCCTTTCCAGCAGAGACAGCAGCAGTCAGCAACAGACGGGGACGGTTGGTCTTCTTGCCCTCAGCCTCAAAGGCGCTCATCAACTCCTACAGACGGGCAGAGAAAGATTATAACTTGTCTTTTAATGGCATTTGATCACTATTTTTTCAACATATAACCAGTTATACAGGGTCTTCTGGACCGATTTTTTGGCCAAAGTCCTTGTTAAAGTGAATCCTCTCCTATATACAGTGTGGTTTGCAAGTGAGGCAGCTTATCTACTTCCACCTACATCTACATCTACAACTACATATAGAAATTGAATAGCACGTGACCGACCTGGACCAGGACGGTGTAGCGCTGCTTATCCTCAGGTGGGGAGCCACGAGAGCCAGGGTACTCCCAGTCAATATCCAGACCATCAAACTCGTACTGACGCAGGAACTGGATCACACTAGTGATGAAGGTCTGGCGATTGGCAGCAGTGGAAACCATAGCTGTGAACCTGGAGACAGGAAGACAGTCAGAGTGCTTCTACATGTGCCTCGTAGTGAGAGTGTTGATCCTCATTTGATTACTACTTACTTCTGAGTACCAAAGTTCCATCCTCCGATGGCCAGCAGAGTCTTCAGGTTGCTGTTCCTGCAAGCAGCAACAACATCCACTTTTACCTCTCACACTTAATCTATGCATGTGCATGAATGCTTAAATGTATTATTGTGTGTTTTCATGTGTGCTGGAGTCACACTATAGCTATGGGAATTTGTGTGTACTAACTGGTTCTTCAGGGCCTGGAATTCGCCGTAGAGCTTCTCATCGTCCCACTCGTAGGTCTTGATCATGTTGTTGTCCATTCCAGCAAAGGCATAGATGAGGTGGTCACAGAGACATGGGTCAATGTTGGTGGGGAAATACTTGCCTGCTCCAGGACGGTACTGTCCCCAGTTAGTGAAATAACAGGAGAGGATGTAGGATGATCCTGCAACAATACATTTACATTATGTTAACTTAAATACATCTACACATACCACACTAAACAGAGAATGGATAAAGGTTATAATTACCTAGCTGCACATGCAGCAGGAGAGCCAGTCCTGCAGAGAGGGAGAATTAGAGAGGGTGGGGAGAAGGCAGGTTAAGTAGTTAATGAGAATCGATCTGCATTATGCACAAGATGAAATTAAATTTGAATGTGTAGAAACAAAGTTTCAAAAGTTTCTATGAGCTAAGAGCTCAACTTACCAACGCAGATGAGTAGCTTGCCCATGTTGCTTCTGTACAACGAACAGAGGACCAGCAGACTCTTTTATACACCTGGGTTCCTCCCCATATCTGCAAAATCTGTATAATTTGTTTGATGTATTTTAACTACTCTGCAAAATTTAAAAGTCAAACTCAATAATTTGTTTGGTCAAGACCATTATCGCATTGGATTTATGGAAAGTACTGATTACCATCAAGAGTCTTTTGATAATGATATGATCCAATTAAATTAGATATTTTCAAGGTTACTGTTTTTTTTGGTTTACGCTTTGCTTCACATTTCCACCAGGTTTTTCAGTATTATGAGTACATTTATGTTTCATGTTTCAACATTTATAAATAAATGAAATATCCTTTTAATGGAAGTGATTTCAGTCAAACACAAATAGTTCGTGGACAGCAAAATCTGCATTTCACCATTTTCCATTTACACAATTTGATACTGATGTTTACTCAGTTGTCCTTAAGTTCTGCTTCATGCCTTATCACCAGTAGACATGGTTTTACAGCAGTTACTACTGTTAGCCTATCCCCTGAAATGAACTTCGCTGGACGTCATATTGCAATGGAAAGAGGCTTTTGTCCTTTCCTGTCCTTGACTGTGGCTCAGCGGCTTGTTGATTGTAATGCGATGTGGATTGTGAAATGAGTCTTAAACTGGCTGTGCCATCTCTTTAAATCTTCATGAACAGACTCTGACTGATAATGTTTTACACTCAAAGCTGCCATTTATGCTCCATCTGTGAAAGTTAGTTTTAGTATGTTGTTAAATTGGTTAAACATTTGCTCTAAAAAGGCTGATACATTTAAAACCCCAAATTTTAATCTACAAGAAGCATCTGTAATTTAACATTCAGACTGAAACAGTCACATTTTAAAAGGTTTATTTATAAGTTGAAACAGAAAAGTTTTCACGAGGCCCCGGCTGTGAGCTTATGTGAGTGATTGTGGACGTTTGTCTGGAGTGCATTTGGTGAGCATGTTTTATTTGTCTCTGCTTGGCTCACTCTCTCTCTCCAGTCTCAGAGCTGGGGGCGTGTCTGCTACGGGCTCTGCACTCACCTGAAACCCATCCGCAATCAGCACACCTGCTCTGTGTCCCACAATCTGCCACTGCCTAAACTCTGGTCTGCGTTTGGGTCCTCTCTTCCTGAAAACCTGACAAAAGTGCTTTTAAAGTAAAATTAATAACAAGCCTCATCTCCGAATAAGACTAAATCATCTGCATAAAGTAAAGCTCTTCATTTTTAACTGTCCAGATGGAGGTGAATGATTTGAGATTATAATGCAGGATATATTTCAACCTGTCTTTATCCATGCAACATTGACGTGGTCCAATGGGCACCCTGCTTCACATTCATGGTTACATCACACCTGGGAGCTGCCCAGTACAACCACTACCAGTAGTTGCAGTGAAAGTACAGGTATAATGTACACCACCTCTGTTAGGGAAGGGAGTTATTCATTTATCTCATTTTCTAGTACAAGGCAGATTTATTTGTCACAATAAAACAGGTTATATAGTGAAATTGAGTCTGTAACTCCCTTCTGCTTCATAGCAGACAATACACAAAATATAAAAGCAATTATAAAAATAGTAAACAAAATAAACCATATTCAATGGAGCAGTGCTGGGGTTGAATTTGAGCTTAAAAGTCTGATAGCTTGGGGGGGAAAAGCTGCTCTGCAGTCTGGTAGTTCGACAGCTGAAACTTCTATATCTCTTCCCAGAAGACAGCAGGGTGAACAGGCTGTGGCTGGATGGGTACTGTCCTTTAGAATCATTTGGGCTCTGCGTAGGTGCCTCACCGATATCAGTGATGCTCAGGAGATGGGTACGAATGGTCTTCTGAGCAGTTTTAATCACCCGCTGCAGAGACCTCCTGTCCTGGGCCGTGCATATCCCTTGCCAGTTTTTGATGTTTTCAGTCAGGATGCTTTCTATTGCTCCTATGTAAAAGCTTATAAGAACTTGGCACAATAATTTGGCTTTCTTAAGCTTCCTCAAGAAGTATAGTCGTTTCTCAGTGTACATGTATTTATGGATCTTTGGCTGCCTTATTTTTAGCTCACCATTAATAACCCAAACAAATGGGATCCCATTTAGATTTTTGTGGTATGATAAAAGCTAGGAACTAAGATTCCATAGCCATGCTAGTAGCTATGTAAGGCTGTACTTCAACTCAGCAGTGCTTTGAGCTAAACACTAACATCTGCATGCTAACAGTCATAATGTTTACCATGTTCACCATCTTAGTTTAGCATGTTAGCATGTTAACGATTGACCTTTAGCACTTAAGAAGCCTACATTTGTAGGTATTTGGTGACAAATCAAATTGTGGAAATTATGACCTGCTAGTGGAACTACTGTACATGAAAAGACATGGGGGTCATCAAGATTTGTTATGTGGGGACCATGAAAGTCTGCAAAAGTTATGGCAATCCATCTTGTATATATCCAGACATTCCACTAATAAACAAACAAAAAAAACTGCTGGTAGCACTAAAGAGTTGGGGGGATCACCAAAGTCATTAGGATTAATCCTCTAGATACCTTGGATATCGGTACTCAATTTCATGTCAATCCATTTAATAGTTGTAAAATATTCAGTCTGGATCAAAGTGGTGGATCAACCGACATTGTCATTGTGCTAGAGCCACACTGCTAGGATGACTAAATGAAACAATACCAGTACTCAAACAGTGTTCCAGTATCTGCAGTACTTTCCATAGACAGACAGTCCTTGTTGAAATTGTTTTTCACTCTAAATATAGTTTGAGTGTCAACAGCAAAGGATTATCTTTGCTAATAACAACTCGGTGCTAAACTACTTGATAAACAGTGTGGAAAACCCTAAGCCTATCTCTGGTAAGACTGCAGTTTCATGTGTGGGCACTTTGAAGTGTCCCCTCCGATTTCCGTTGGAAGGGGGAATTATGTATGATAATAATGGAGTAAAATAATATGCAGTGTATATGCAGACCAGAGTGTTAGATGCACTACCAAATCTCACCATGAGAGAGAGTCAATAAACCGTGTAGGGTCCAATTTTGTCCATTTTGATGGTCAACAACATGAGACAATTCATGCTTGGATCAGTATAAGCAGTTCCTCCTCCAGTTATGTAATCCATTATTTTAAATGGTCAAAACTTTCAAATAAGCTGCAAGCAAAACAGGTCTTAACCTCCAAAGCAACAGATCAGGTTCTTTTTTTGCTGTTGAAATAAATAACTTAATAACCATGAACAAAATCTTTCACCGTGGCAACCATGCAGATAAACACAGACCTGTTGCCATCTCCCACGCACACATAGCCGCATACCACACACACACACTGTGCAAGTTAATTGAAATATGACACATGGAAATGATGATTAATCACGCTGTCTTTGTGTTACTGGTTCTGTTAGAGAGGCAGGATAAAGCCACTGAAAAAGTCATCTGCTCTTCTGTGTACATACTCCAGAATAATGTCGCTCTGTAAAGCTCCATTTATATTTTTAGGTCTTTCCCAGCAGAGGAGCAGGTGTGATTAAGTTGTACCATTAGCAGTCGCTGTCTACAGTATGTGTGCAGTATGTGGGATTTTTCTTGATCCCATGAACTTCCTCAGAGGTTTAGGAGTGCCTATTTAAAGCATAACAAGCCTCCACTATTGTTTATTCTTTTCTTTGTTAGTTTGGGAGAATGTCAAAAAGTGTTGCACTGTACAGGACGATGCCACTCTGCACATATTGTAAAGAAACTTGATCAGAATGTGAATACTGTGCAAATTGTGAGTAGCTCTCAGTGTTCAGTTCCTTCTATCTATCTCTGTCCCTCTGCCCACCCCCCTCTTCCCTCAAAAGGCAGCCTTCTCAACAACCCGTCGCTATTAGAGACTGCTGGTCTTGTCACCATGGCAGCAAATTCTCAATCATTTTCTCTCTGCCATGTTTGTATCTGCACACGCTCACATACACGTTTAGCTTTGATGTGGGAGGGTTGTCCTTGAGTCCAGCTGGGGAACAGTTCACCTGTGAAAAGAATTCCAATGCTGACCCGGGAGGATGCTATGCCACACATGCATCCTGTTATAGGATAGCATGTGCCATTATGTGTTGTCATGCATCGTGTGGCACCCACCTGTGTGCGTACATGCGTGTGTGTGTGTGTGTGTGTGTGTGTGTGTGTGTGTGTGTGTGTGTGTGTGTGTGTGTGTGTGTGTGTGTGTGTGTGTGTGTGTGTGTGTGTGTGTGTGTGTGTGTGTGTGTGTCTGTGCAAGATTTTTCTGACAAATGAGCCACATTCTTGCTTCTGTTCAGATGTACTGGGAACAAAGAGTCAATTTACTAGGCTAATAATACTAGTGAATGAGATTTAGGATTTTGACTCACTGGCAGCTTAAAGCACACTCTCATATATTTGTCACATGGTGTCAGAACACTGTCACTGTATGGCTCACCTTTCATTGATGCAAGGATACTTTAATTCTGCTTCTTATCCTTAAAATACGCGAGACACACACACATTCTCTAAACAGATTTAAACTTAGGGACATTTTGTTCAACCAGTAGAACTATAATAAACACATTTTAACTACAGTATCATACGTGATACTGTATCTTCAGCCACGTTGCAAAATAAAAGTGCGAACAAGAAAATAAATTAACACCAGACGTGACTTGAATTTTCACTTCTCCCATAAACATCCCGGACACTTGACGTCAGCTCATGGATGATGAAATGAACTAACGTAAGGTGAGAAAGAGAAAGGAGAACTGAGAGAGTGAGGAGAGATAAGAGGATAGGCAAAGCTGATTTTTCTTTTCAATAAAGCGACAACCCCCCAGTGTTGCTATGGCGACCTCCTCTCTCTCCCTTCCTTTCAGCGAGCTACCACTTATCCTTGCTGCCTTTCAGTCAGCAGGGCATGTGGGTGTGTGTGCTTTTGTGTGTTGGCTCCTGAATGAATAAAGCAAATGAAGGGGAAAGCCATTAGAGAGCCAAGTCAGACTGTTTCAAACACACGCACACACACACAGAGACATGGATACTCACACACACATACACATATATATGTTAACATAAGCCCTCAAGCTGCAAAAATGTTAACTGACTACTCACAGTATATTCTGCAGTAGCTCCTCATCCTCTTTTCTTTCTTTCACAACCTACTGATTTTCAGTTACCACACACCCACTCAAATACAGATATATGCCCTCTACCACTACGTTCTGTAAATGTGAACTACAATAAAAAGAAAAACGATGAGGATAAATAGGGAGCTATATGAGTGTGTCATTTTTCGCCCCATTGGCAAAAGGTCAATGATCATGTATAGGTGAATCCTATGCTATGATACACGACAGGTAAGACAGCTTCACTATAGTTATACTGGTCTCAACTGTTCTTCACATATATTAAGCTAAAATATGAGCACACAAACATGACCAGAGAGAAATTCTTTGTTTATAACTTGTTTTCATACTGTATGGAGGAACTGCTCAAAGTCTGTGTGATTTAACAGCCGCACTGGTGTATTTTTCATCACCGACCAGAGGCTGTGTTCCTATACACCTCTCTTCACTCCTCACAAGCACTTCATTTAATGAGCCCTCTTAGTGCTTAAATAAAAAATGCATGTTTCTGGCAGTTGCCAGCATCATTTGACCCGTAAATACTCTGGATGTCATGCAGAATATCCACATAGACATTGGTATCCATATCTGGTAATCCAAAGATGTGATTTGACATGTGCCTTTTTATGCATGTGTGCCCAGATCATACAGTTCTGTCAATACAATATTTTGCATGAATCAGATCAGGATTGAGTAGTAATATCCTGCATTTGTGTACAACCTTAAGCATGGTCCTCTTCAGTAATACTAATGAGAAGGGGTACTGAAGGACTTGTTTTATGCAAAATAGCCTTGCTTTGTAGAATTAACTTAGTTAATTTTG